GGACGCAACACGCGACCTGATTAAATGGACTCGTGTATATTAATTGGTGGAGGCACTGATTGGATGGCGTCTATAATGCGAGACATGACCCCACCCTACGATCACGTGTATATTAAGAGGGTAAAGGCACTGATTGGATGATATCGACAATGCAGCACGTGATCTGATTAAACTGCAACTTCGTACAGAGATCGCTAATTGCTAGATTGGGACCACACCCGGTGTGCATGTCATTGTGCGGGGAACGGTGACGATCACGATAAAACTCGTTGCATGATGTTACACGTGATGATTTTCCATCTAAATAAGCAGTGACGCCAACCATGGTACCGCGACTCCATGTCGCGGGATTGTGCCAGACCCTTACACCACGGTTACTTTTTTAGTAACCGTGCTTACACGTAATAATTTTCGTCCAAAAATAGAGCCAAGAAGCTATGTAACCACGGGTAGAACATCTGCCTGCAAGACCCGCTAAATAGAAATCGAAAAGATGAGCAATCGAACTGATGAGCAATCGAACAGATGAGAAATCGAACAGATGAGAAATCGAACAGATGAGCAATCGAACAGATGAGAAATCAAAATCAACGAGTTCTGGGATACATAACCAACCTTCGTTCTCATAACAAGTTTTGTTCTGAGAAATTACAAATTGTCTTTTGTAAAATCCGAGATGTGTTTAAGAAGTATTGTCAAAAAAAGTGTTATTGTGAGAGACCAAAATTAAATTTCAGTTGTTTTGTAAATTATTGTTTTGAGAATTGATTTTGCTTTGAGAAATTAAGTTAAAGTAAACACTCGTTGTATTTATACCTGTATACTCACTGAATATTAATCCCATCGGGTATTTGTTTAATGACTTGTGTCTACCATTGTCTGCCGCCATAAGTACAGCAGACTGCACTGGATTTTACCTTACTGTTGCTTTCATCTGAATTTAAGTAATATTGTCTTAGACTAGCAGGTTCAAAACAAAACAAGACATGAATGTCACAGTCATTTAATTATAAAATACTCAAGTTAAAATAACACATGGAAAATCTGAAAACAGTTGAATTAATATGTACTTTATGTGGGTACAACTCATCATAAAGTGACTTTCGTTAATCCAGTATTGTACTGATAACTGAAAACATTGACTCATGTCCAAAATATCAGAGTCCACAAGTGCAACCAAACTATGTCTCATACATGCTCAAGAAACTGCATTCATATAATCTGAGTAAACCTTGATGTATGAGACTTATTTGTTAGTTCAGGTCTTTACCAGGACCTGGGTTTGTTTCAGCATCACCACTATAATTCCCATCAAAATGTAGCCCTGACCCCCCTCTATAGTTTTCCACTGAGATTCGTAATGGTATGACCCATTTATCCACTAGCCGATGATAACTGAAGCTATATTTAGAACACACGTGTCTACATGCCTGGCCAAGATTTATAAACAGTGTCAGTCAGTGTTTTCACTGATCTTTAACTCTATGACCCGGTATTTCAGTGATGCATTTCTTTATAATGAAATGCAATTTTTACAGTTTAAAGATATAATATACAAACTCATTTCTGACTGTTTTTTTTCAATATTTCAGCGTTATTTTTTTATAAAACCAAACAAAAACCAGACTGTGGCTAATTTCTGTCACTGATTCAGATCAAGGTCATGACGTCACTGAAAAGCCAAGCATTACAATCTAAGCTAATTATTCATGCTCAGTTGTTCTGTCAGTGTTGTTGGGAGAGGTAATTTTTGATGAAAATCATGAAAAAGACCCACTTAGGATTTTCAGATCTGAAAAAGAAATTACGTGCATATTGACGAACAGAGACTTATTCATCAACCTGCCAAGTTTCATCGATACCTGCTGCAGAATTTCTGAGAAAATGTTAGAGATGCAAAGGAAAAGTCACAAACGAAAACCAGAAATAATAAACTATACTCCCCTACCCTAATCAACCAATGGCCGCTCGTAGCACTTCAGTACTGCATCTAAGAATCAAGCTTAAGAATAAGAACTTCATTAAACCTTAAATATTCTCTTAAGGTCTCATACCACTAATCAATTTAAATGCCGGGATTATAATCATCATGAAGTGGATCGGCGTTTGTAGCGCTGGTCCGACCGTGATACAGGAAATTGTACGTGAACAAACTCCGGAGTAATTTCAAGAATATTAAATACAATAAAATCAACTAGGGGACGAATGATAAACAACTTACAGAACTGATATACTAAAAAGTAAAAATGACAAAACAGTCATTGGGCTAGGAAAATTCATCCACATTTTTTTCAAATTACGACAAGATAAAATCCTAAAATGTCAGATGCCTCAACCAACCACCAAATATTTTTTTCTTTTCTTTTCTTTTCTTTTCTTTACATTCAAATGTCTGTGATTGTCTTATGTTTTTTGTTTGTTACTTTTTGTGTTACTTTATAGTATGTTCAACTAAGATCCCACTATGGGATACTGTTTCAATTATTATTATTATTATTATTATTATTATTATTATTATTATTATTATTATTATTATTATTATTATTATTATTATTATTATTATTATTATATAAAAACAATGATTCATAAAATTATTTTTCCTGTTTTAAACTGAACTGAATTGTCCTTATTTTTCTTTTTGCCATGTGTTCTCCCTCAAACCACAGAACTTCATTTTAGTTCCTAATGTTTCTTAGGGTAAAAGTGTGCGTTTCACCTTCTGTACACTAAACGTTAACGTTATATAGAGGTAAACTAGATTACAATATGACACAACAATATCCGTGTTTAGGCTACACCAAGTACGGGATAAGACTTAAACTAATCTTTCCATATCGACGTCCACGTACGACAGGAAACTGCGGTTAGCACGGGATAAGTAACGGCCAACTTGTTATACAAATCGTCAGCCCTTTTTGACTATGACCACTCAGTCCAGTAACTAGGGAGTATACCAGTTGGTTCTATGATTTATACCAAAGCAAATTCAGAAAGACCAGATTGAAAATAGCAGGAAGTCTCATCGTCAGCTAATTTTTCTCGTGAACAATTTCCCTAGGTGAGTTAGCAATGATTGTCATGTCCGAAACGGCTTACCGAAATGAATAGTTATGAATATATAATATTAAATCGTTCAAATGGGCAAATGATGTACAATGGTGTTTTAGCCCTCAGTCCGAACTAATTGTTGTGGTTGTCTATCGCACACATTCGTTCAGCTCCAAAAGCTGCAAGCTCTTTCTTTGTGTAGTGGTAACACAACTATGGTAGACTGTGATGAATTAGTACGCCGTTTATTTCAAAGGGGAAGTCTGGCATCAAGGTACAATCAACAAAAATACACACTGAAACACCCTTTTTATAGAGTTAATCGGATTTCCATGTGAGAAAGTCATTATTATGTATACATAGCTGTTTTATTTATCTTGCGTTCGCAGTGATAATAGTATCCCTGTGGCCATTACATAGACGGCTTATGTAACCTGAGTTGTGACTCTTTGTAATAGAAATTCATGTATTGTGAGGTGAAATCAAGCATAAAACGAATTATAACGGCTATATCTCGAATCAAATTTATTTAGCGCAATTTGTTGTACTGTCACGTGAGTTCCACTATCTAGAATGTGTGTCATAGCAAATAATTATTACATTTGCTATATGGAACTGACATTTACGTGCCTGTATACATGAATTCAACTCTCAGTCTTGACGAGGGAATAATGGTCGACGCGTTGGCATCGTGTCTACTCAGTTACGAATATATAAATATTAAGCTGCATATGTTCAACCAAATAGTGTTAAAACTAGCGACAGGAGGCCAACCAACTGGTATTACGTAATGCATAGCAGTCAAGTAATATGTGCTATAACCCAGTCTTTATTTTCCATATTATGCTTTACAGCAAGGACCCAACACTGCCAGCAAGTTTATCGCCTCGTAGGGACAGGCATGAACGACGGATCTGACGATACAAATACTTCTAACTACATATTCGTTGTATAACTTCTCATACATAGTGAGGAATACCTATACGGACAAGTTAATCTCGTATAACCAGAAGCAGCCAACGAACGATTTTACAAATTTCCATTCAAATTATTAGGAAAAGCCCATGTAGTTGTTCCTATCGATTTTAAATGTCATTCACGAAAATTAGGGTACCCCAAAGCTGTTCGGGTTGTGCCCTCCCTCTACTCCTTTCAGAAAGTGCCCTCCCATTGTGGAATTGAAACTCTGCCCGCCCTTTTCATTTTCTGCCTCCCCTTTCCCCACTGCATAAAATTATGTGTTCCCCTCCCACTAACGAACATTTTTGGTCGAACAGCTTCTGTAATTAAAATGTATCCAAAGTAGTATCACCATACACATTACACATAAAAAATCAAACAATTTCATGAACACTATTTTTCTTCAAAAAATAACGCCCTCTAGTGGTAATTATGAAACAAGACTTATGGGCTCATACCACTAATTGAATTTCCATAGACGACAATGTTAACATATGACGAGATTGCTATATGAAAATGACGAAGAAAGGAAAATATGGCTCAAAAATGG